GGGGTGTGACCTGTGACTGAGCTGACCGCTGGGCTGTCTGGGCAGGAGAGGGTGCTGGGGGCACCAGGCGAGGTGTGACCTGTGACTGAGCTGACTGCTGGGCTGTCTGGGCAGGAGGGGGTGCTGGGGGCACCAGGCGGGGTGTGACCTGTGACTGAGCTGACTGCTGGGCTGTCTGGGCAGGAGGGGGCACCAGGCGGGGTGTGACCTGTGACTGAGCTGATTGCCGGCCGGGCCCTTGGCCTTGATGTCCAGGCTCCCCAGGGGGAGTTGCACCTGTTGCCCAGCGCCGTGCTCTGGAATTCGGGACAGTGTCTCTGGGAGCAGTGTCCCCCTCCTGTCATTTCCCGTCCCCAATGCCGCCGAGGGTGCCCCTTCCCTCCCCAGCCCACCGGAGGGGCCGCCAGGTGGGGGGATTGCTGCTCCCTGGCAGTCAGGGCTCCAGATATGGTGTCTCAGTGGACCTATTGTGCAGGGAGCCGCGGCCGGCTGACTGCTGGCGGGCCTGGCCTGGGCACCTTCCTGCAGGGACCCCACCTCTCCCCGAGTCTGTGAGCAGCCTGAGGGCGGGGGCTGCGTGAGGCCCTCAGCGTCGCCCTCTGTACAGCTCTCTCTCCAGACCTCGCTCTTCCGGAGGCGGCTGGGCACCCGGGCCGCTTATGAGGTCCTCGCCTCCCTGGAGGATGGGAGAGACGGCCACCCTCCGGCGTGAGTGTGGGGACCCCCGGGGCCTCAGGGCGTGGGTGGGGCCCGGGATCCTCTTCTCACCGCGAGTCGGGGCTGCTGCTCTGGAAGGGGACCCCATGTTCCCTGATGGTTCCTTCTAGAAACCCTGACCTGGGCGCCGCTGTGTGCCGAGCCCCCTGCTGGGAGGCGCTGGCTGATGTATCTTCTTTTTATTGTGGAGAAAATACACACAACAAAACATCTGCCAATTCAGCAATTTTCACACGTATGATTCAGCAACGTTAATCACGTTCTCTGTGTCGTGTAACCGTTACTACCCTCTTCCAAATAATTCGGTGCCGGACTTTAAATATTCCATTTGCGATCATGGAAACCACCACGTCCCTGGTGCTCTGGGGTCTGCGTGGTTCTCCCGTCTGTTAGCACTGGGGCCTCAGGCTGGTGGTGGTGGGGACTCGGGCTGGCGGGGGGGCCCTGGGCTGACTGGGGGCCCCGGGCTGGCGGGGGGGCCCTGGGCTGACTGGGGGGGCCCTGGGCTGACTGGGGGCCCCGGGCTGGCGGGGGGGCCCTGGGCTGACTGGGGGGCCCTGGTCCTTTTCTTCTGACCCTGTTTTATGTGCCACACCCCTGGGCTCCTGCTGGGATCACAGGTGTCTGGCCGGTTCTCCGCCAGCCCTACTGTTTGCAAACGTGGGCAGGAGCTCAAGGCTCAGGGTGGTGCCTGCAGCTCGCTAGTAGGGGAGCCTGTGCCAGACCGTGTGCCCGCGGGGTCTGCATGCTTCTTACACGTGATGGCTCGGGTTTTACAGAAGCGAGAGGACGGACAGAAAGTGCCTGTAGTGCTGGCGGTGGGCACTCCAGAGTGGAGTCCCCGTCAATGTCTAGGGTTTCGGTTGGAAGCCAGGCTCTAGGGCCTGGGGTCTCAGTCAGAAGCCAGGCTCTAGGGCCCGGGGTCTCAGTCAGAAGCCAGGCTCTAGGGCCTGGGGTCTCAGTCAGAAGCCAGGCCTCAGGA